CCTTGTTGGGTTAGTTAGAAGGGATTTTAGTAGACTACCCGAGAAAGCTACTGCTTAGGAGCCTTTGGGTAAGCCCTAACCCCCCAACCAAAGTAACCCCAAACGCGAGCAGCGGATCCAGCAGGGGCCGAGGCGCAGGTGCGCGCCACCCGCCTCACCGCCAGGTTTCCGCGCAGAGCGCCGAGGCGCTGGGAGAACTCGTACTGCCGGCACGACTGGCCTGGCTGCACTGAGGAGAGTAGCTATAAATTCATTTTTGAGCTGCCTTATTCAGAAACCCAATAAGCCGAAAAAGGCTAAGGATCTAAAGTTCCAGTGAAGCACCAAAGTGGCCTGGCTGTTGGGATGGGGCTTGGGGGCTTGGGGTTTGGGGGCTTGGGGGTTTCGGGGTTTGTTAGGGGTTCAGGGGTTTAGGGGTTTAGGCGTTTTACGGTTGAGGGTTGAGGGTTTAGGGTTTAGTGTTGACTCTTGCAGAGGCGTTGCAAGAGCTTGAGGGCTTGTCAACCCCATAACCCAAGAAACCCAATAAACCCCGAAACGTTCAGCGGCCAAGAAAAGCTGCAAACTCTGTGCACCCTGTGAAACCTAGCAACGCACCCTAAACCCGAAACCCCAAACCCTAAACCCTCAACACCCAGGGCCTGGATGCGCGTTGCTATGGATGAAGCAGAAGGTCAAGCCGCCTTTTAGGGTTAGGGTTTAGAGTTTAGGGTTCAGGGCTTAGGGCTTGGGGTTTAGGGTTTAGGGTTTGGGGTGTAGGGTCTAGGGTCTAGGGTCTAGGGTCTAGGGTTTAGGGTGAAATACTTCTGCTTTTTGTTGTGTTTATTGAGAAGGGGGGGCCGGGGGGCGCGGGGGAAGGGGGGAGCGAATAAGAATCCCACCCGACCTAAACCGGAATTCAAGGGCTGAAGAGCGTTTTGGCTTCGGGATTTACGGCAGACCTACAACAAGCTACCCTAAACCCTAAGCCCTAAACCCTAAACCCTAAACCCTAAGCCCTTGAGGGTTCCATGGGGTGTTAGGTTTTAGGCGGTTCAGGGCTTAGGTGGTTTTGGGTTTAGGAGGCTTGTGTAATGACAAGAAACTTGAAAAGAAATGCCGCCGTCGAGGTTTGGGGTTTAGGGCTTAGGGCTTAGGGCTTAGGGTTTAGGGTTTAGGGTTTAGGGTTTAGGGTTTAGGGTTTAGGGTTTAGGGTTTAGGGTTTAGGGCGTATTAGGGGCTAAGGGGGCTAAGACGAGGTGCACTGGCTGCACGTGAGGCTGGGATTCCGCGAGCTGCCGCCCAGGACCTTCGCGGCTGAATATGGGGGTTGACGAGAGTAGGGTACCCTTTTGGGGGGGGTTCCTGTAAGCTTTCGCCCTTTTGGGGGGTTTCCTGTAATAAGGATTATACGATTTTGGGGTATATTAAGGGCATCCCTACTGTGAGCAGGGCTCAGGGAGGTCTCGGCCGCTTCGGGCCCTGGGGCTCAGGCAAGGGAATCAGCATGGGTTTGCCTTCGCAAACCCTGTAAACGCTCGCGAGCCCAAACCCTAAAGACCTGAACCTTAAACATATCAACCTACCTGTAGAAACCTACAAACACCTCTAAATACCTTCAAATACCTCTAAAAACCCATAACAACCCATAACAACCTACGAACTATAAAAACCTATAACAACCTATACAAACCTATAAAAACCTATAAAACCTATAAACCCATGAACCCCATAAACCTATAAAACTATAAACCCCAAACCTACCAACCATGGGGGGAGTTGAGGGCATGCCCCTGAGGATTTTCGGATCCACGGGTCCTACTTGGAGTTTCAAGGTTTAGGGTTTAGGGTTCAGGGTTCAGGCTTTAGGGTTTAGGGTTTTGGGTTCAGGGTTTAGGGTTTAGGGTTTTGGGTTTAGGGTTTAGGGTTCAGGGAACTTAGTAACCCCAGCTATCACTGTACTAGAAAAGCCCCCTAAGTCCTCTAAGTAGGGAACAAATAGACCTATAACTGTGGTTATGTGTACCCATGAACTTCCAAGATAGGTCGTAGGAAACTCACGAACGGGAAAATGGTGGCGGGGGGGGGGGGGGGGGCGGGTGGGCTGCTCTCGAAAATTGCGGTCTCGGGGGGTTAGGGTTTAGGGTTTAGGGTTTAGGGTTTAGGGTTTAGGGTTTAGGGTTTGGGGTTTGGGGTTTAGGGTTTAGGGTTTAGCGTTTAGGGTTTTTGTTGGTTTAGGTTGTAGGGTTTAGGGTCCAGCTTAAAGCGTCTCCGCCTGCGCTGCACATTGCGGGCACTCCCGGTACGTCTCGTCTTCGCGCATGGCCCTGCGCTTGCGGGATTGGCAGTACAGGGGTTTAGAGCTTGAATGAGGGGGTTTAGGGTTTAGGGTTTAGGGTTTAGGGTTTAGGGTTTAGGGTTTAGGGTTTAGGGTTTAGGGTTTAGGGTTTAGGGTTTAGGGTTTAGGGCTTAGGGCTTAGGGCTTAGGGCTTGTGGGTCTAGAGTTGAAGGCTCTTTCGAGGCACAGGGCAACGCGACCAGCCGGGAGAGCCCACGAATGCCACTAAACTCCTTGACCCCTTCCCTCGATTAAGGGTCTAGGGTCTAGGGTCTAGGGTCTAGGGTCTAGGGTCTAGGGTCTAGGGTCTAGGGTCTAGGGTTTAGGGTTTAAGGTTTAGGGTCTAGGGTTTAGGGTTTAGGATTTAGAGTGCAGGGGTCAGGCTTCCTGAAGCCCGAAACTAGCCTAACCACCCCCTTAAACCCGCTCCCTAAACCTACTACACCCGGAGCCCTAAACTTCTAAGTCTAGACCTTTGACACGCTTGCACCTAGTCCTGAGAATCGAAAAAGATGCTAAAATATCAGCAGTTAAAATCACAATGAGGCCACTATCAACGGTACAAATAACAAGAAGAAAGAAGCAGAAGAAGAAGAAGAACAGGCAGAAGAAGAAGAAGAAGAAGAAGAAGAAGAAGAAGAGATGACATCCGACCTTGGCCCTAGACCCTGGATTCATCCCTAAACCCGAAACCCAGTTGCGGAACAAAGCTGCGAGCCGTTCGGAGGCCCTTCAAGACCCACCGCCTGACGCCTGGTGAAATCGCGGGGAGCCGTGCGACCGCAAACGACGCCGCAGGTGGGTTGCCGCTTCCCTTGCATTTTGTCCCCCGTCTGGGCCAAGGAAAAAATCTCGCCAATCTCGCCGGCTCGGACACTCGAGGCCCAGGAAGTCACTGAGAGGCTTCGTGGGTAGGTGCAGACCCAGGGTTTCGGGGGTTTAAGATTGGGTTCGGGGTTGGGTCTCGGGCTTAGGCTTGGGGATTCTTTGGGTTTTCAAATTGTAGGGATTTGGGGACTGTGGCTTGGGGCTTCGGGTTTAGGGAGTGGGGACTTATGGCTTAGGGTTTAAGGATGTTGGGGGTTGAAAGACCGGGGTGCAACCCTAAACCCTAAACCCGAAAATCTAAACCCTACATAAACCCTAAACCCTCAGCCCTTAAGCCCTAAACCCTAAACCCTAAACCCTAAGCCCTGAACCCCACAAGCAACCGAAACACTGAAGCCTCATGCGGTCATGTCCGAAGGTGCACCTGAATCGGCGCAACTTCTCCAGCAACGCCTCGCCGCCCAACACCTCTTGGGCAAGACACCCTGGAGTTTAGGGTTTAGGGCTTCGGGTTTAGGGTTTAGGGATCAGGGTTTAGGGTTTAGGGCTCAGAGTTTAGGGCTGAGGGTTTAGGGTTTAGAGCTTAGGGTGGTGAACCCCGAAGCCACCCTGAAGGGACGGAGTGCAGTGCTGGGGAATCTCTTAGCGAACCTTGCCCGGGAGCTTTGCGTTTTGGGTTTTGGGATCAAGGTTTGAGTCTTGGGGCTTAGGGTGTATTATTTTGAAGAGGGGGGTTTGGGCTTTAGGGTTTAGGATTTTGGGGTTTAGGTTTTGGGTCTAGGGCTTGGGGTTTTGGGCTTCGTGTTTGGGGCTGGGGCTTGGAGGAGTCTTTGCGGGGTTGGAGTTAGGGTCCGCTAAACCCTACACCTACACCCTAAACCCTAAACCCTAAACCCCTAAACCCTAAACCCTAAACCCTAAACCCTAAAACCCTAAACCCTAAGGTAAGGTAAGGTAAGGTAAGGTGATCCAAATCAACTGGACCTCGATCTCCCTAGAAGGAGTGTGCAGTTGACACATGCCAGTCACCAAGCAAAACGCTTCGATGGCTGAGCATGTCATGCTGGCAGCGACATAACACGGGTCTTTCACCGGTTACCGTTTGCACAGCACGAGCGACCAGAGCACAATCAACTTTTTCAAAGTGCAGACATGAAGACAGCCCGTAAGCAACTGCCTACAAACTCCTGGGATGCTCGCCATGTGGTGGGGTCCCCAAACAATGCTCGTAGGAACTCACATGGGCGCTCCACTGTTGAAGCGGTTACAGGGATGTGTTGTAGCAGTCGCTGCAGAGGTTCCCTCGAGGACGGACATCTCCCCAGCATATGAAATACTGATGCTTCTGGCAAGTTGCAGGCCGGGCATGTGATGTGCCTGGGCAATTCTGAAATCCCTAACAAGGGCAAAGGCCACCTGCCAGAGATTCGAACAATGCTCCAGGCTCTATAGTTAAACCACGCCTCCTTTACAGAGCAACTGTCAAAGAGTTCCCACTGCAGTGGCACGACATAAAAGTCCAGCTCAAACAGAGAAAAACCAAAAGCCGGGATGTACTCGTGAGTGCAACTGACAAGGTGCATACGATCATACTCTTGTAGTAACGGCTTGACCGTGTTGCGGCGGTATGTTTGCAAGATTTGTTTGCGCAAAGCTCGGTCACGTCGGGCTTCATGAATCTGCGCAGCAGAGCAAACACCTGAATTTTCCAGGTTTGGAATTGGGCGAGGAAGTCCACTTTGATGCAACAAGTCACGCGCTTGTGAAAACCACGTCCTACAGGGTAGCTCGTCGAGCAAGAGCGCCAAGCGTGCAGTTGGATGCTCTTCTGGCAACAGCTGCACTCGTGCCAGGGTCAAAGCGACTTCAAGAAGCAAACAGCTTCCCAAACGCAGATCCCAGCCACACTGTGCGAATACAAGGTGTTGACGGAGTTCTCTTTGATACCTGCAACCCAGGATAGCCTTCCCCCAACGCCACTGAAGCTGATTCAGTTTGCTGAGGACACCTGCTACTCCCACAAGGAAAGGTGCAGCATGTAAGACTACGGGGTGCAATCGGATCTGAACCTGGGAAGACAACACAGGCACTGAGAAACCACCTGTTTCAGCCGTGTGGAAGAGATCAACAAACATGGACCATCCTCTTGCCAACGACTGCGAGAGAAGCGGCAAGAACGTAAGTTGGCTGTCAAACAAGACACCAAGAATGTGCTTTTGGTCTACAACGTCGCAGTCCAAAGCTTCGTGATCAAGTGGAGGGCTGTTGAGAAGAGCCATGGCACAGGTTTTGTTTTTACCATAGTTGAACTGCGCCTTGGTGCGCGCAGCATAACGCGAACACGCAGAAGCACCCCCCTTATTTACTATGGCTCTTACAGCGCCCGGCGATGAACAAGGCACGGTGGCATCATCGACATATTGCAGTGGCCCAAGAGAAAAACTCCCTATGGCATCAAGGAGAGCACACTTGTCTGCGTAGCTTCCTAGTGAATTAATCATTGTTTGCAATTCGGCTGAAGCTTGCGTTGGCGCATTTGCCATCAGCTCCTGCAATCTGCTTACGCATGGCTCTAAAGCATCCACAGGCGAAGGTCTGGAATAAAAGTCCACATGTGAGGCCTCCAAGTCGACATGCGCCAAGGCCCGAATAGCATACTTGGGAAGCCAGGCGCTTGTATTCGCTGCAGTGACTTGTTGGATTTCGTCTCTGAGCCAGCTTAAGAGGCTGTTGAAAACGTGAACGCTAAAGCGTCTTCCTTGAGCAATGCCGCAACCCAGCCTGAAAACATGAGAAAGAAAACCGTGAAGTTGAACGTATTGCCGATCCGAATCAAGGACATCATCCAGTAGCAGCCAATCCGTGCCCCGCACACCTGCCTGGAAACAGGCCAGCTTCATGCTACTAAGACGTGCAACATCAAAGGCCCACCGGAGGTCCAAGATGGCCAAATAGAGAGGCAAGCCCTGGTAATCACGCGCTTGCGCAAGCAAAAGTATGGCTAATAGTAAGAGGTTGGTTGCTGAAACACCTCCGACTTGGTTTGGCCCCGCAAACGACTCTAGTTTCGAGCGGTTGCGGGCCAGCCATAGCCCATCAATGACGTGTGCCATATCAGCGACCAAGGAAATGGGACGTAAGCACTGCACTTTACGCACAATTCTGGCTCCTGATTTGCGAATGTGAGCGAATTGCCGAAGTGACCACAAAGAAGAGGTCAAACCTACGTGACGGCTAAGGTTTGCAAGACCCAACACAACTTTCCTGTGCGAGCTCTGAGATGATTTGAGTAAAGAGAAGCAGCCGTGCAAGCACTTCTTGGAAGAGTGGCACTTCTGCAGCACATCATCTAACTCCTCAAGGGTGTAGAAAGAATCCTGGATAGGTTCCGACCATGAATCATCATGCAAGTCAAAGCCTCCACGGCTTCTCACGTCACTGACCAACAAATCGGTTTCCTGGAGGCTGCGAGCGTCAGCAGGGAAATCATTTGATGCCCTCGACATCATATCTTCGACCAATAAATCCAACATTGCCTCGTGGGATAAAGGTTCGCCGCTTGATTCATCGAGCAAAGCAATTTGGAACTCGGACGCCTTATTAAAGAAAGATGACAGAAAACGTTCAGATTGCGCACGATCTTTTTGCCTCAGAAACGAATAAGTGTTTGCTGCACGATTTTGTTCTCGAAGGGCTGCTTCCTTTACTGCCGCCTTGAACGCTGCATCTGAGGTGAAGTTGGAAGGAGACAGTGAAAGTGAGTCCCTGCATGTCAGCATATTACTCTTAACCCGGACCGCACCATGAAAATGTCCAACAAGCACCACCAGGAGGTCACGAGACCAAGCTGCAGAGTCCAGCACCGCGCGCCTTAGCTTCTTGGAGACGCCTCCTCCAAGAAAGGGAGATCTCATGTCGGTGCTTTGTAGCACCTCCTGTATCGCAACGCTCAAAGCTTCCAGAGCTGGAGCTATGCTTTCCAGAGCCTCATCCCATACTTCACCTGCCTGCCAGGATACTCTACCAATTGCGTTGTTGTAAAACATGACAACGAGATTTTGCAAGAACACGTGACCAAGTGATGATCAGAAGCTCCTATTCTTTCGGACAAAACTCGCGCTGGCATGGCGACGCTCCGAGGGACCAGTATCAGGTCGATGGCTGTGCCACTTACATGCGTTGGGGCAAGAGGGTTGATGGCCCGCAACCCTGCTTGACCAATCATGTGCTCAATGCGTACGTCATTGGGTGGCTGTTTACAGTGTAAACAGCCACAACGAGCAGGGTGGTCTACCAGATATGAAAGGTGAATATTCCCATCTCCAAGCAAGAAAAAGTTTGCACGCGGAAACTTACGTGATAGCAGCGCATAATCGCCAAGGAGCGTTGTCCAAGTCTGCACGTCTCCACCAGTGGCGCAATAGTAGCTGCAGCACACGACATCACTTGAGCTTGCTGCAGATGATGCTTGTATGCGAAGCCAAAAGATACGGTCAGAGCAAAACTCTTCCAGAACAATCACATTATCCAAAATGTCAGAGTCAACTAAGAACCCAGTTGTATCCCAAGAAACAGATCTAGTGCCCAGCCACGACATCGGAAAACCTTCAGGAAGTAAAGCTCCAGGCGGCAGTCGTGGTGATGGAAGCGCAAGGATGTGAATTCCGTTTTCTTGCATGGCTGCTGCAATGGCTAAACCCCTAGACCCTAAACCCCTAACCCTAAAGGCAGGCCTCCACATCACCGTCGGTGATCTCTGTGGCGCAGCCACTGTCCAGACCTGGGACTCGCTCCCCAAAGCACCATTTAGGGACTTAGGGTTTAGGGTTTAGGGTTTAGGGTTTGGGGTTTAAGGTTTAGGGTTTAGGGTTTAGGGTTTAGGGTGTTGGGTTTAAGGTTTAAGGTTTAGGGTTACCCCCCCCCAAAAAAAAAATAAAAATAAAAATATTTGGGTTTTGGCGCTGCCAGTTCATGCTCTGAGGCTTAGGAATTGTGGGCTCTACGGTCAAGAGCCCTAAACCCTAAACCCTAAACCCTAAACCCTTGTCACCCTTGTCACCCTTGTCACCCTTGTCACCCTTGTCACCCTTGTCACCCTTGTCACCCTTGTCACCCTTGTCACCCTTGTCACCCTTGTCACCCTTGTCACCCTTGTCACCCTTGTCACCCTTGTCACCCTTGTAACCCTAAACCCTGTCTCGAACACCTGAGGCCAAGCCGCCACCCTCCGGGAGCTCGCAGCCGCTGGCAGAGGGCAGGAAGGGGCAAAGCAGGCTGCGCACCGCGGCCTTCCAAAGAGTGGAGACGAGGGCCTTCTTGGGTGTGGGGCTTGGGGGTTTGGGGTTTGGGGTTTCGGGGTTTAGGGTTTAGGGTTTAGGGTTTGGGGTTTAAGGTTTAGGGTTTAGGGTTTAGGGTTTAGGGTTTAGGGTTTAGGGTTTAGGGTTTAGGGTTTAGGGTTTAATGTTGCACCCTGTTTAGTGTGGGGGGCCCCCCCCCCCCCCCCTGGACAGTCGAGGCGTGGATGGGAGCCTGATTACACGGCCCCCGGGGCTCATATGATTTTAATAGGGAGGAGTTTAGATAGGTTCAAAAGGGGCAGCGATGCCCGGTTATCTTTTTTAAAGGCGCGCCACGTGGAATTTTCTTACGGCGCCCGGACGATTTGTCTTTAAAGAGGAACTCCCAAACAGTCAGCGTGTCCTGAATAATTCGGCCAGTTTGTCTTTAAAGAGGGGGCCAATACTAAACAGGGTGCAACATTAGGGTTTAGGGTTTAGGGTTTAGGGTTTAGGCGCAGAATGATAAACCCTCTACCACAAAACTGCCAGCCCTCAAGCCCAAGCCCGATTCCATGGTTCCTAAACCCTAAACCCTCAAACCCTCAAACCCTCAACCCTCAAACCCTCAACCCTCAAACCCTCAACCCTCAACCCTCAACCCTCAACCCTAAACCCTAAACCCTAAACCCTAAACCCTAAACCCTAAACCCCATTCTGAGACGTGCCAGCCCCAAAAGAACGGCCCTTCCCGCGCCTCCTGCACCTTCAGCTCCACATAACCTGCACCGGAAGTGGCCGGTGGCCGCTTGTCCGTGCTGCGTTCTTTGGCTTACTTCTCCAATACCCAAGGGAGAAAAAGGTTAAACTTTAGTCTTCCTACTACACAAGGAAGCGGAAAAAGTTTAAAGTTCAACTATTGACCAAGTAGGTTGAGTTAGGGGGTTTAGGGTTGAGGGTTGGGGGCTTAGAGCGTAGGGCCTAGGGCTTTTCAGGTAGGGCTTTGGCTGTTAGGTCTAAAGGTTAGGACCAGGGTCTTAACTCATTTGGGGCCGCAGAGCTTAGGGACTTCGGGTTGAACGGTTTTAGGATGAAGGTCTTGAGGCTCATAAAACAAACAAAGAAAAGACGAAAGCCCCCATCCTCCCCCCCCCCTCCCAAACCTGAAACCCTAAAGCCCCTTTAAAACCCAGGGGCCCATGCTTCAGAACCCTTCAAAAGAAGACAAGGGACCAGCCCATCAAACTACCTCAGAAAAGCAGCACAAGAACGTTCCCAGGGCTGGCAAAAGAGGAGGGAGGCTTCTAGGCTTGGTCGCCCGGTAGCCACTCTTCTGCGACAAAGGAACCCCCAAAGCCCACCAAGGACACCAGGGTTCCGGGCTTTAGGGGCTTGGGGGCTTAGAGGCTTTAGGGGTTTAAGGGTTTGAGGGTTTCTGGTTTTGGGGTTTCAGGGTTGAGGATTTGAGGATTAAGAACATGCTAAGTTGCTGAGCCGTCTTCAAAAAACCTAAGCCCCAAACCCTAAACCCTCAACCCTAAAGCCTTTCCCATGTAAGCTCCTGACGCACAGGATCCGCTACAACCGTGCAGGAAAACCCTAACACAAACAAACCGATGACACAGCTTCAAAGCACCCTTTTGTAGCAGAATCCAAAGTCGGGTTTCGGGTTTAGGGTTTAGGGCTTAGGGCTTGGGGTTTGGGGTTTTGGGTTGGTGGTTTAAGCCCAACCCCATGGACCTTTGATGCAGTGCCGGCAGAAGGTGTGGCCACAGGCCGACAATCCAAAGCCATCCTCGTGTGAGCTGAGGGTTTAGGGATTTGCCGATTAGGGGCTTGGGGTTTGGATTTGACGGGCTCCATGTTTTGGGGTTTAGGGTCTAAGGTTATTAGAGGTTTCAAGTTTCAAGGTAGGTTCGGGGTTTGGAGTTGGTTTTGGATTTGGTTTAGGGACTGTGCAAGTTGGAAGGGGGAATTTTGGGTATTGTACTTTATGATTATGTGAGAAATTAGACGGTGCAATAAACCCTAAACCCTGAACCCTAAACCTTTAAACCCTAAACCTTTAAACCCCAAACCGCTAGACCCAAAACCCAAATCCTAAACCCTAAACCCGGGTTAGGGGTTTAGGGCGAGAAAGGCCTTCCCCCTTCCCCAGCTGCATCGGGGGCTCGGTGCTCGGGCAGTTGTTGAGGCAGATCTGGCAGTAGTACGTCTCTTGCGAGGTCAGGCGTTGCCTTGGGGGATGGCTTGGGGTTTGGGGTTTGGGGTTTGGGGTTTGGGGTTTAGGGTTTAGGGTTTAGGGTTTAGGGTTTAGGGTTTAGAGCTTAGGACTGAAGGTTTCAAAACCCCCCAACTGCCCTATAGGAGTCGGAATGATTTCTAAGAATATTTTAGGGTTTAGGGTTTAGGGTTTAGGGCTTAGGGTTTAGGGTTTAGGGTTTAGGGTTTAGGGTTTAGGGTTTAGGGTTTCGGGTTTCGGGTTTAGGGTTTAGGGTTTAGGGTTTAGGGTTTAGGGTTTAGGGTTTATGGGTTAGGGTTTAGGGTTTAGGGTTTAGGGTTTAGGGTTTAGGGTTTAGGGTTTAGGGTTTAGGGTTTAGGGTTTAGGGTTTAGGGTTTAGGGTTTAGGGTTTAGGGTTTAGGGTTTAGGGTTTAGGGTTTAGGTCCCTTTGTAAATACACTCTACTAACCCCCAAAAACCCTATTCTAAGTCTTCAGGCCCCTATGCTAAACCCTCAGCCCCCTCAACCCTAAACCCTAAACCCTAAACCCTAAACCCTAAACCCTAAACCCTAAACCCTAAACCCTAAGCCCTAAGCCCTAAACCCTAAGCCACCCTGGCCCAGAGCCCGCCAAGTAGCAGCGCCGGCATGGCGGCAATCCAGCTTCCGACCTCAGCGACTGCTGGGTTTTGAAGGTTTTGAGGGTTTAGGGTTTAGGGTTTAGGGTTTGGGGTTTAGGGTTTAGGGTTTAGGGTTTAGGGTTTAGGGTTTAGGGTTTAGGGTTTAGGGTTTAGGGTTTAGGGTTTAGGGTTTAGGGTTTAGGGGTCTTGAAGGTTTTGAGGGTTTTCGGGTTTTGGGTCTTGAAGGTGTTGAGGGTTTTTGGGTTTTGGGCCTTGAAGGTTTTGAGGGTTTTTGGGTTTGGGGTCTTGAAGGTTTTGATGGTTTTGGGGTTTTGAAGGTTTTGAAGGTTTTGAGGGTTTTTGTGTTTTGGGTTTTGGGGGTTTTGAGGGTTTTTGGGTTTGGGTCTTGAAGGTTTTGAGGGTTTTCGGGTTTTGGGTCTTGAAGGTTTTGAGGGTTTTTGGGTTTGGGGTCTTGAAGGTTTTGAGGGTTTTTGGGTTGGGTTTTGGGGGTTTTGAGGGTTTTGGGGTTGGGTTTTGAGGGTCTTGAGGGTTTTGAGGGTCTTGAGGGTGTTGAGGGTTGGTTGAGGGTTTTCACGGCCTAGCGTTGACGGTTTGGCGTTGACGGCGACGGTTTAGCGTTGACGGTTTAGCGTTGAGGGTTCAAGGTTTGGGTTGGGGTGGGGTTCACGGCTATGTTTCTTGTCAACTTCACCCTTTGTCAAAGCGTCAAGGAGCATACACCCCAAACTCCAAAACTCCAAAACCCTAAACCCCCCAAACCCCCCCAAAAAAAACCCAAAACCATGTAAACCCCAAACCCCAAAACCCTAAACCCCCAAACCCCCCAAACCCCCCAAAAAAGCCCAAAACCATGTAAACCCCCAAACCTGTCATGTCCCTCCAGGGCACGGCCGACGAGAAGCTGCCC